ATATCTCTTACGAGTACATATACTGAACATTTGCTGGCATTGGTTCATCTTCATATTCTCTATATCTTTCTGCCACGTCAAATAAGTAAATGACACAATGGAAAAAACCTAAAACAAGTAGTCCTATTTACTTACCAATAAAATTTCTTTGTTGTGACACTTTTTCCGGTTTATAGGACCTCTCTCATATTCTATCTTATCGTATCTAAAATCATAGTCATGTATGTCCTCTAACCATCTCATAACGGTTTCCAAACCACTTTTATCGGATGTAAAGTAAAAGCATGGATGGTTATGTAAAACGTCTAAAGTTTCTAAAGAGTCTCTCAAAGTCCAGTCTGCTTGGTATTGAAAATCGTATGTGTTATAGAACGGCGGGTCTACTATAAAGAAAACATTTTCCTTGTTTTTATATTTTTCATACAACTCTGTCCAACGACATCTCACAAACTCTATACCCTCAGTATATTTTTCTATGTCCTCTTTGAAAACCTTTGTATAGTTAAGATATAAAACGTTTGACATAAGTGTTTCAATGTCATGAACTCTTATAGAACCACTATACAATAGTCTAGAAGATATACTATCCCAGTCAATATACTCTGTTTTTTTCAAAACCTCTCTGACAATATTTTTCTTATCTAATGGTATACGTTCCATCTTACCTATAGGTATCTTTTCTTTTAACTCTTTCAATATTTTGTTTGTGTCTGGTATATGTTTGAGACGGTTCATATAGTTGTCGAAGTCATTGCATATAATCTTTGAGTTTGGGAATACGGTATGGCACAAATGAGATATATAGAAACTTCCACCGAACAAATCTACAAATGTTAGACCATTCGGTAGTTTCTTAAGTTCTCTCAATATAATATCTTTACATCTACTCTTATTTCCAAAGAAGGGTAACGGTGGTTTTGTAAAATTCATTTTATATTTAATAAAAATGTTTTTTCCCTGAAAAGTGACAGAAAAGTGACTGGGGCTAGAGGGCACGAAGTGCCTGGAAGCCCCACTACCTTTTTTTTTTTGATATCTAATATTTTTCTAATGACATAACTACTTTGGACGCATATCCAAATTCCAAAAAAAATATGGAAAAAATAAAAATGAAATTGAAAAATACAATTTTTGATATGTAAAAAGAGATTTTGAAAAAAATTGGGAAAAAGAGTATCTAATAAAATTGTTTGAGATCTATGTAGACATAGTTTTTACATTAAAAAATCAATAATATTGAAATTGATCTGAATATATCTTTTTTTTTAAGTTTGAATGCATTAATCTCAAAGCATTTGATAAAATACTGGTTTTATTTCAAAATTCTAAATAATTTGTAATTAGATCTTTATGATGTAATTTAATTTTAAACAAGTACAGATAAAGAGAATCATAATAAAGGTGATCTATATTGCTTAAGTAAAATTGAGTATAATAGATCGATCTTAGCAACAAGATCTGAGGAAGTAGATTTGAGAGTCGAGAGTTTAGATCTTAGCAACAAGATCTGAGGAAATAGATTTGAGAGTCGAGAGTTTAGATCTTAGCAACAAGATCTGAGGAAGTAGATTTGAGAGTCGAGAGTTTAGATCTTAGCAACAAGATCTGAGGAAGTAGATTTAGAGTCGAGAGTAGATTTGCGATCTGAGGAAGTAGATCTTAGCAACAAGATCTGAGGAAGTAGATCTTAGCAACAAGATCTGAGGAAGTAGATTTGAGAGTCGAGAGTTTGGATCTTAGAAACAAGATCTGAGGAAGTAGATTTAGAGTCGAGAGTTTAGATCTTAGCAGATCTGAGGAAGTAGATCTTAGCAACAAGATCTGAGGAAGTAGATTTGAGAGTCGAGAGTTTAGATCTTAGCAACAAGATCTGAGGAAGTAGATCTTAGCAACAAGATCTGAGGAAGTAGATCTTAGCAACAAGATCTGAGGAAGTAGATCTTAGCAACAATATCTGAGGAAATAGATTTGAGAGTCGAGAGTTTGGATCTTAGCAACTAGATCTGAGAGTTTTATCATTTCCGGCATATTGGGCCGAAAAGGAGTGATCCGCGTAAGTATGAAAAAAAGTGAATTTTGTTGTATGGTGTTTTTTATTATATCCGTTTCTCTCACAATTTTCAATAAATATTATTGTTCAAACGGAAATATAAATAAACAATTCAAAAATAAAAATGTAAATGTAAATTGAAAATGTATTATAAACATGCTAAAAAGCGTATATTTTAAACTTAAAGGAAAAATGAAATTCGTAAAAATGAGCATGATGTTTGATAAGGGAGTTTTAATTTTTTTTTCAAAAAAATTAAGGAACTTAAATTGAGATTATCAGGCTATGTAGTGGGTATTTTTACGATCTGACTGCAGAAATCGAATCAGCGAGACCCGAAGATTCATATTCCGCCGGAAAAATAGGGTTTCGAGGCGTAGATAGGGATAAAAAGATGCTTTAAGAAGATCTCAGTAGAAATATGGTTTATAAGAGGATATAGGTCAGGATATAAGATTATGAAAATTGAAGAAGTGAATTATCAAGATGTATTTATGAGTAAACTATATTGTTTTAAGCTATCTAAATCTGTTTTGATATAAATTAAAGCGTATACTTATGCAAAATGCGAAATTTAAATTAATACTTTTTTTTGCTATTTGGACACAAAGCTAACAATCCATCCAATAAATGACGTATACCTAGCGAGATGAAGCATTTTAACATGAAAGACAAGAAAATCTGATTACTTGTGTTGAAAGTTTCTGTATTTCGTCTTCTTCCAAACACAGCGTTCAGATGCAGAAGAAAATGCAGCCGTAATGACGCAAAAAGACACTAAAATAAATTGGAGAATTTCTGGAAAGTTTTTACTGAGCTTTGTTATTGAACCCGAATTTGTTGCTGAGTGACAGGATATTAAATCTACGACATTCATGAGTAATTGTTATCAATTTGTCAATAAATTATGTTGAAGATGGTTTAAATGTCTTCGAAGGCATGAAATTAGATCCTAAATCTGTTTGAGTTAATAAAAGAGAACAAATGTTGAAAGAGTTGTCATATTGCCTACAAAATTTTCAAACATTTGCATTGAGACAATGTGAAAAAATGATGTCCAAAATACCTTTACTAAAATATTTTTAATTTGAATCATAACAAGGAAAAACAATAATGGCAGAATAAGAAAAAAAACAAAGATGTTATGATTTGAACAGTTGCCTTTTAGATTCAAAAAGAGCATAGCGTTCCCAACCACTACACTACCTTCCTTTCTGATAAAAAGCTGAATAATTAGTATTTAATGAATTCTCCAACTTGGGGATTTGCGGCTTTTCCAAAATCTGTTATGATAGTTCTATATAGCAATTGATATATAATATGTTTTTTATAATCAAATAATTTTTTAGTCCAGATAAATTTTTTAAAATTTCAAAGTCTTTCCATTCTACTAACGCTCTTCACATCCATATTCTTTACCATATATCTAATATAACGCCTTATTTTAATTCCCATGTTTACGATTTATTTGTCGAAAAACTGTCTTGCCCATTAACATCTCGCGAAAATTTTCGACTTTTTGAATGGCCGTTTTCAAGATCTCAAAAACTGTGGGATATTTTTTACAAAGCTAATCGACATTTATTTACCACATATATGTACTATACAATGCACCTGGTTTCATCGAATTTTTACCGTCAGTTTTCTCGTGAGACTACCTTTTTTACCACCTTTTTTACATTTTTTGAATTGAAGTAAAATATTATAGGGTTGTTAGATTCCCGACGATAGGTGTCTTGGAAGATTTGCCTGGTGTCAGCATAGTGTCTTTAAATCAAAAATTTTATTTTGGAGTTAGTTTTATTGATTTTTCAATAAAAAACATTTCTAAAACAAGAAAATAAAACGATAAAATATTTATATTTTATATAAGGATCTTATATATTTAAAATAAATATCATTTTATTTTTTTCATTGGTGTCTGTCAAACCATAATACACTATTCAAAAATTCAATGTGTCTTGCGGTTTCAAAAGACACCTTCAAATTGAACGATAGCACAGACACTATTGAATTTTACCCATTTTATTTAGTTTTTACCCTTTTTATTTTTAAGAATTAATGACTGAAACAGCCGTTTTGCTATGACCTCAATCACTTTTATTTATTATTTTAAATATTATTTAATTTTATTATTTGAATAGGCCAACTTATATTTGAGAAGCTCAATTTGAGACCACTTAATACATTGAAATATCATAAATATTGAAATATTAAAAAGTGTATTTCAAAATATTGAAATTATAAAAATTTATAATACTGAAATTGAGACAAATTAATAAATTCAATGTGTTTTTTTTTGAAATAACTCTCAAATATTATTTTTTTGTTTATTTAATGATGAATAAATATGATTGCTTTAGTCAATCATAAAAACTAATTTAAGTTTAAAATAATGAAAGGATAATTTGATCGTTTTTTAAAATACAATTATTTTTGATGATTTGCAAGAATCTTTGAAAAGAATATAATATAGGTTCTATTATTGTAAAATTTATCCAAATCATGTATTACATAAATTACGATTAAAACGATGAAAGAACCAAAAAGTGTGTTTTGTGTTTTGTTGTTGCGTGTTGGATGCGGGATCCTGTTATTTCCGAAATCGACAAAAAATTTGGAAATTTAATTTCCGAAATCGAAATTATATTAATGTTTTTAATATTCTTATATCAAAAGGATTAAAGTTCATTAAGAGAAAAACAATTCTTCTTCTTCAATCTATTGGCGCATTTATTTCTACACGCCAATAAGGAAGGGAAAATTATAAGACACCATGGTGTCTTCAAAACGCTAATTTTTGATATTTTTAACAACCCTAAATATTAAAAGAAAGTGAATTCTAAAATAGAGATAAAAAGAAAGACAATATCTAAGCAAATGATTAATATGGAAAGAAACATATTTTTTGATGTAAGCAAAAGTGACAACTCTTGCACGTTATTTCGAAATGTCAGCGGAGCGCTTGAAATCGCTCGTTGAACAAGGAAATCTAATTAACTTAAACATCGTTTCTGACTCATTAGGTACATTATTACATGAAATAACAGCAATGCTCGTTGATCAACAAAGACAAATCAACCAAATCAACAAAGATATGGAAGAAAAATTAGATTCGAAAGATTTTAACAGCTTTTCAAATCAATGGAGAAATGACCGTGACGTTTTGTTTAGATCTTTCCCCAATTTCGAAGCAAATATTCAAAAAGTACTCAAAGACGTTGATCATAAGAACGAAGAAATTCGCGAACACATCGACCAATCCATTGACCAAGTTCTTATGTCTGTTGACACAAGAATTATTGAGAAAATGGGCGATGGAGAGTCAGATGTTGTTGTTCTTCAAAGCAGGATAGATCAGCTCGAGCAAAAGTTGAAGACTGCATCAGGGTCAATTACAAAACAAGACTTTGATACAGTGAAGAAAAGATTATTGAAAGTTGAAAATGATCTTACTGTTGTAGCCCATCCAAAGTTTGATACATCAATTATCGACAAATTCAAAGACGAAATGAACAAAAAATTTGAAGAATTAAATAATACAGTCCAAACAAGGCTTATACCTGAAGAAGAGTTTGCAGCAGCAGGTCCAAACGGAGAAACATCGAGAACTACAGGTAGCAAAGCAAATGGAGACACAAAATCCAACTCTGATAATATTGAAGAATTAACAAAGAAACTGGAGACCGCACAGTCCAAAATCGATGAGCTTAGTAGGACAGCCATTACAAAGAACTCATGGACACAAGAAGTTGGCTTAGTTGAGCGAATGTTCGAAAAAATGAGGAAATTGTCACAACTTTGAAGGATGAAGTCAATTCTGCATCAGAAAAGTTTGGACAATGCGTTACTAAAACAGAAATGCAAGCTTTCGTTGAAAACATTATTATAGATTATTTGGAAAAGAACGACACTGTTTCGTCTCCACCTTTGAAGTGCACTAATTATGGAAGCGTTGGGTCACCTCAAAATAGGAAACGAACTGGAAGTCAGTCACAAGATGCGAATAATTCAACTCTTCCGGTTCTTTTAGTTCCCCGACGTTCTTAAATTATGTATTTTTGTTTTATCATTGTGTTTGAAATAAAAATGTTATATATTTTTTATTTATATTTTTAATTTTTACAAATTTCTTTGAGAAATAGCATTATTCCTACATAAAAACAAATTATGGAATGGGTGCATAATATATGAATCCTTTCTTATTATATTTAATGATCTTATTCTTTATAATTCTTTATTGTTGATGTAAATTTCAAAAAAAAATGTGCATCGGAATGACATAGCTTAATAAAGAGTTTTGATTAGTGAAAGAGTATGAAACTGTAATAAACAGAAATATTGAATTTTTGGAACTTTTGATAGAGCACGTTTTTAAATATTAATTAAAGTAAATGTATATTTTGTAAAGGTTCTTTTTAATAAAAAAATAAAATTTTGAAGAAGAACACAAAATCTTCTGAAAAATAATATCACATAAACTCATATTATTTTCTAATATATAACTATTTTATATAAAAATCAAATTCAATGATCTTAAAAGCGAAGGATAAACCTCAAAATTTACGAATATAATGAGTGGGAATATAATGCTTATCTATCATAAAACCATATGAAATATCAATTTTTGCTTTACGCCTATTCCCACTCATTATATTCGTAAATTTTGAGGTTTATCCTTCGCTTTTCAGATCATTGAATTTGATTTTTATATAAAATAGTTATATATTAGAAAATAATATGAGTTTATGTGATATTATTTTTCAGAAGATTTTGTGTTCTTCTTCAAAATTTTATTTTTTTATTAAAAAGAACCTTTACAAAATATACATTTACTTTAATTAATATTTAAAAACGTGCTCTATCAAAAGTTCCAAAAATTCAATATTTTAGCTTTTCTGAGGTGTCACTTTTGATGAATTTCTGTTTACAACAAAACAATTGGTGTTTAAGTCCAAAGACTTTAAAAATAATTAAAATTTTTAAATCATCCTGCAAATTGTTTCACAAAGCATGAATATTTTAAATTCTGATCTCATACTGATAAAATAAATGATGAAAATAAGGAAAAATATATCATGATATACGGGCGTGCAGCACCAATATTTAGGAATAAATTTCTGGGGAAAAAAAAACAATTATGGAATATTCCGAATTTATAGGGATAATACAGGAATCATGCAGTGGTGTGACTGAAAATGGAGAGGATGCTTCATCGAAAATTAAGTTTTATTTCACTAAATCTGTTGAAAATCAGTTTGAAGTTTTTAATTTATTTGTTCAAGCTATATCAGACCCAACACTAGATGAAATTATCAAAGTTGCTACATTATCACTTCTTTACCAAGCAATTCATTCTTTAAGTCCAAATGGTTTTTGGAGATCATCAAATTTTCAACCAATTAAAGAAGCTATTCAATCATCAGTCATAAACTCACTTTTTTCTGAAAGTGTTATTATCAGAAATGAATCATCAAAGGTCATTACAGCTATTTTTGGAGTACAAAACGGATCATGGCCATCATGCCTTGAATATTTAGGGAACAAAATAGAAAATTCTTCCGAAATTGACGAAATCTCCGCTGTTGTTTACGCTTTTAACGATCTAATTAATGATAATTTTATAAAAGTTGTTGAATCATCGAAAAATTTACAGCCTTTATTCCAAGTATTCGACAAAACACTTGCTGTGATAAGTTCTAAGGCTACAGAACCTCAAAGTTGCGAAATTTATTACGATTTTCTCGATCTTTTTACAAGCCACTTCCAAACTCTTTGTTTTCGGCTTGATTTGTGTTCTAGAATCGTTGAATCTTTACTTGGAGCATTTCCTTTCATGGAATTTCAAATTTATAGGAAATCTCATAGAATTTTATTGAATATCGTTGTAAATCTTTACGAATGCAATGAGAATGTTACAGAGTTTATACAGTTGATATTTCAAAACGTTTGCCAAGGTTTTAATTGTACTTCTCCTGAATTAAAATCAGTTTCAATTGATTTCTTCATCCACATCCATAAAATGGAGATGGGAGCAACGTACAACCACAGATTGTTCTCATTCTTTGCAGAACAGATCTTTAATTCAGCTTCTGACCTCTATGGAGAAATTAATTTAAATTCAAACTTGATTCAAAACGATTTCTCAGCATTTGAGACTTATTTGATCAAACTAATGAACTGTTTGTTCATTGAGAACGGAAATCAGATTTTTGAGCAATTATCTGACGTAATTTTTCAAAACATCAGTTCTGATGACAATTTGGTCAAATATATTGGGCTATGTATGCTAGAATCGTGTTTTGTTGAGGATGACAACAAATATACAGATTTAATTTTGAATTTTATTGCAGCAATTCAAGAACAGCTGTTCCAATGCTTCCAATGTCGTGATGCTCATGTAATCATCCGACTTTTGGAGGTTTTCTCCAAGTTTTTCTTGGCATATCCAAGAGAAATACGAAAAAATGACGAATTCTGCCAACTTTTATGGGAAAACTTTACCAATTTGGTCAGATCAAACCCTTTCGATTATATACAGGACATTTTATGCAAGACTTTGAGAGTTTTGATTCCAATTGAAGCAGAAAATCCCCAATACTTTAAGATTTTCATAGAAATAGCATACGAAATGATTAAAACACCGAGGATGGCCAACTCAGACCTTATTCATTCGCCTTTTATGTTAATTCAAGAAGTTATCTCATTTTCAACAAAAGAACACTTTCCAAATATACTTGAATACATACAGATGATTGTTCCTGATATCAACCAGTCCATTAAAAACGCAGTTTCTAGTGATGAAAACAAATATGAAATCGTAGTTCTTCAGGATAAGATGTCAATCGTTAGTGAAGCTCTTTCCAAGTATTACAATCTCATGGAGACCTTAAGAATAGATCCAAATATTACAAATCAGCTTGATCTTCTCTTTGTTGATTTTATTAACCCTTGGATTGAACTTATTAACCGAAATTCGTTCTACCAGGAAGAATTACTTGACTTATTATGCAATATTATAAGGACATTACCCCATATTTCCCAAGATTACGCAGAAAACATTTTTAATTCAATGAAAGAAGTCATAATAAACGGAAGTCCAGCAGCACAAGGTAAAGCTGGATATGCATTGGCCCAGCTTTCCTCAAAAACTGGTAAAAATGACGAATATATTGATGCAGTTTCGTATATGATTGATCTTTTAGAGACAGGAAATGAAGTATTCACCAAACAATTCTTTGCTGATATGATGTATGGTATTGCAATCATTATTAAGAACCAACAACTTAATGATTTTAATAATCCCCACATTTCCAAGTATTTTGAAATCTTAAGATGGATCTGTTTTGAAAATCCAGACATTTCTAATAGAGAAGCACGTAACGAAGTTTCATATCTCTACAGATACGTTTTTCATTCTTATAATGAGTTGGTTGACGCATTTCAAGACGCAGATATATCAACACTATCCGACATATACGACGATATCTTCAATTTCATTAAGAAAACTTACAAATCAAAAATTCAAAATTTGACACTTTACTCGGCAGAGCTAAAACTGCTTGTAGATATGACTACTGAAGATAAGCGTGAGATAAGAAGAAAGAAATGCATCAATTTCGCTTCTGATTACATTAAACCGCTTTTTGTATTCATTAAACAACTCCCGAGAAACCAAAACAAGTACGTTAATTTGATTAGAATGGCCGAGAAGTTTGAGGAAGATAGAAAGAGATTTTAATTCAAATTTTATTTTTATATTAGATTTATTGTTTATATATATAGAGAATAAAGTACTATTTTATTAAATTCTTTTATTCGAGACACAAAAAAAATCAAATTTCGAAAAATTTGATTCAACAAATATAAAATTTTGATAATTAAACAAAATAAGAACATGTGCAAGTAGTGAATTCCTCTGTAAAATGGAATTCTGTTGATTTTTTTGTAAATTTATTTGGTATTTTCATCTTCTTCAGAGTCATCATCTTGTTGTGTAGTACTATTATCTTGTTGTCTGTTGTCAGCTGTTTCCATTGTTGGAGTTACGTATAATTCTAAAATATCTATTTTAATTTCAGTTCCAAACTCTTTTGCGAGTTCTCCAGCGACTTGTCTGAGAGAACCAGGCTCAACTTGCGCAATAACAGCTGTTTGGTTTGGATCAGATTTATCTACTTTTTCTACATAAGGAAGCATTGAAATCATCTTCTCAGCATGATCCGGAGTAATGTAAAATACCAATCTGATCTTAGCACGTGCAATTGGGTAATGAGCAGCCTTCAAATCGCGAATAACTTTAAGAGCTTGAGCTTTTGCTGGTTTAGCAGGTTTAACGGAAAATCCTATTTCCTTCATTGCCCTTTCAACAGTAGATGGCGTTAATGGACGTTGAGTATTGACATTAACACATTGAGAAGCAACAATTGAAGCAATATCTTTTGTAAGGTTTTCAATAACAAGTTTTCTTTCTTTTTCTGCAAGTGTAAGTTTGCCTTGATCAAGGATTATATGTAATGCCTTTTCCATGTCATCAACTTCAAGAGTTTCGAGAACTTCTGATTGTTTTGCAAGCATACCACGATCTACATTAGAGAAAATTGAGTGTGATTGAACGACTTCATCGATATCTTTTTCTAATCCATTTCTCCAACTTGTGACTTTATTTGGAGTAACAGCAATTTCGAATTGCTTGCCATTCTTTTTAAGTTTAACAATAGATACATTTGATAAGAGTTTTTGACCAACGGGAATGATAATATCAGCCATCCAATGAAAAGATGATTTTTGCCAAAATTTTCCGATTATTTTCAATTCAATTTCCTATCGATAATCAAAATTCAGGCACATTCATTGTGTCTTTCATTTCACTATTCATCTACAAATGCCTCATCGGACATATTTCAGCCCTATGAAGTTTGGCATGCATAATATCTCTTACAAACTCCCCAAAAAATATGAAAAATGATTGAGCCCGTAAAAACTGACAAAGTTGATTTTTTATCGATTTTTTTATTCAAAAAAATGATTCAAGCTGGAGTTATAGAGAAAGCTGTGATACTTGTTGTTGAAAATTCACTTGGTAACCCAAGAATAACTAAAGGAACATATGCACATCTTGATGCCCTTGCAAGACGCTCTTCATCAGGTTTTGTTTCTACATTTAAGAATTCTAAGGATGTCATTTACCAAAGTTCAGAACTTCGATGAAGATGATATAGAAGAAAATTATTGCATGGTGTGCGAACCAATATGTCAATATTTCCGTGAATTTACTTATTATACAGGATCATCATGGAAATATGGAGCCTAATTTCAATCAATTTTTTTTATAATCATGGTATAAATAATTAATAATACAATGTTGATACTATAGATTTTCTGCAACTAATTAAAAGATTATTAGAATTTGATGAAAAACAAAAGATTACTTTGTATATATCACAAAAAGATATAATTTTGTTTTATATTTGAAAATTTTTGGTAATTCGAACAGCCTGTGTAGCTCAACCGGATAGAGCATAAGACTCTTAATCTTGGGGTTGCGGGTTCGAGTCCCGCCACTGGCTCTTTTTTCTTTTTTTTTTCATCTTCTATGAACACTACCTATTTTTTACTCGAGCTCTCTTTCAATGAGCATTCTAATGAGTTTTCTTTTCTGTATTGATTGATCGCGTCTTTTGAGAAAACTCGAAAAATTAAAGTTATCATTTGCTAATGTGAGCAAATATCACAGAAATAAATAGTTGAAAAGGAGTTCCATTTGATATGGGAAACAAGTACTTATTCGTAAGAAACAACAATGTATGGGCTTTGAGAAATACTGTTTTATTTGGATGAACGCTTGATGGTTTTAGAGCGAATAGTTAAAGTAACTGCAGTTTCTAGTATGAGTATGTTAAATGGGCTGTCGAGAATTTAAATACAATTTTATAACGGTTTCCATGATTTCGAGTAATTCATAATAGAATTGGTCTAAGCGTCAAGAAATGTACAATAGCGTTTCATGCCCAATTGCTTAAACTAAGTTTTTTGTAAATGAAAAAGCATGATGTGCTTCTCTTTCCCCTCACTAAAAATAAAAAAAATTTGACAATGATTTCACTTTAGTGAAAACAAAGGTTTAGACATTTGCTTCCAACCAAAATTTTTGCCTAAAACTCCAGCAACAGACTACACATATGCATATGTAAAATACTGAGTTTGGAAAACATCGGCTATCACAATCATCCAAAATTATCGACCGAAATCTCTTAAATGTCACCATATCGCAATCCAACACAAGTATCATATCAGTTTTATATCATAAAACTGATCGTTTATCAATACAAAGTCGAAAAATTAATTCAATTTACATTATTTGTATAAATTTGAAGCTTACTTTATCATGTACCTAGTATTAACCAGTTCAAGGATCTCATACGTCAACTACAATTTAAGCAATGCGCATTGAAGCTTCTAATATGTATAATAAATAGACTAAAAACCTTGTTTATACTCTTTTAATCGGTGTATTTTACTGATCTAGATCATGATTGTGAACAATATAATACTTTTGTTTTAATATTGCATATTATTGGGATTGATCTATGTGATCAAAAATATTAGTTTAAAATAATCATATAATTCATCATACCATAGGATGTGAAATCAAATTAGGATACTCATTCTGTTCTAAGTCACAGTTGAAAATTCCAAAAAAAATTCGAAAAAAGAAAAATGAAAACCAAATAATTGATTTTTCACATGAAAAAATAGATTTTGAATATTTTTTGGAAAACCAACTTGTTGTATTATTATCTAAACTTTGAAGTCCAATCCTTTTTAAGTACAAAAAACAAATATTATTTGATTCTAATATTAAATTTTTCCATTCTTGAACTTAAAGCCGATCAAATCTCATCCATTATGATGGGAATGATATATACTATACAAATTTCAGGTAAATTAATAATAATTTTATTTCAACAACAACAAATAAATAAAATAAACGTATCTAAGTGTATTCGTAAATGTTTCGTAATGGTTATTGATTATGATATCAAATAATAAGAATGTTATAGGATTTCGAATTTCAATATAGAAATGAACCTCATGACATCCAAGTAATTGTTTGGCAGACAAATATTATTTGGTAAGCAAAGTCAAATAACTTTTGCAAAAGTGCATAAAAGCATTTAAATTAAGCAATAAAATCGCTAAACAAAAATTGTATTAGCCGATTTACTGCATATTTCAACTATGCATTTTTTATTTGAATGCTATTTATGTATCTGATTGTCTAACAAAAATTTAAGCTGGATACTATCGAATCGAAATTTGATTTTTAATGTATACTTCTGTAAACGTAATTCATGACTTTAATCATTTTCGAAGCTAACCTATTACTGTGAATAGTTTATAACGATATTGACTGAAATTGTAAAAAATAATCAATCCAACGAAGAGTCATTTGAGTAAACATCCTATTAGAAAGTATAGTTTGCTATATTCTGTTGTACTGATCCAATGAAAGCTTGCTTGATAAAATACATAGGGAGATTAGAAGCTCTAAAATGCCCTTGATTTATTTATTGTGAAATCAGTTTATAATATAAAAATAAAACATTTAATTTATTCAAATCAGAATAGACTAGCCTTCAAACCTAATGCTGGCTTAGCCGGAGCTGCTTCTTCCTTCTTCTCTTCTTCTCCTCTCTGAATTGCTTCGTTTACCTGTCCGAAAAGTGAAAATTCGTTGTTCTTCTTCATTTCCTGTTCAACTTTTTCTTCTTTTGCCTTTTCTTCTGCAGCCTTTCTTTCCTGTTCTTCTTTCTCTTGTTGCTGCTTCTTCTCTTCTTCGGCCTTTTCTTCCTTAGCGCGATCAAGAGATTCCTGAACTTCACCTTTCAAAGAAAGTCCCAATCCTAATCCTTTCTTCTTTTCTGCTTCAGCCTTTTCCTTTTCTTCCTGTTCCTTCTTCAATCTCTCCGCCTCCTCCTGTTCCTTCCTCTTTCTTTCCGCTTCTTCGGCCTCTTTTCTCTTTCTTTCTTCTTCCTCTTTTTGCTTCCTTTCTTCCTCTTCTTTTCTCTTTCTTTCTTCTTCCTCTTTTTGTTTTCTCTCCTCTTCTTCTTTGCGCTTGCGTTCTGCCTCTTCTTTCTCCTTTCTCTCTTGTTCTGCCTTCTCTTCCTTTGCTCTGTCGAGGGATTCGTTGACTTGTCCGGTCAATGAAAATTCCTTATTTTGTTCCATTTCTTTTTCGACTTGTTCTTCCTTCTTCTTCTCTTCCTTTTCCTTTCTTTCCTGTTCATCTTTCTCTTCTTTGGCTCTTTCGAGAGATTCGTTGACTTGGCCAGTCAATGAGAACTCGTTGTTGGCTTCCATCTCTTTTTCGACCTTCTCGTCCTTCTCTTCTTGCTCCTTCTTCTCCTCTTGGCCTCTCTGAACGGCTTCGTTGACCTGTCCTGTTAATGAGAATTCGTTATTTTCTTCCATCTCCTTTTCGACTTCCTCATCTCTCTTCTCTTGTTCCTCTTTCTCCTTCTTGCCGTCTTCGACTGCTTCGTTGACTTCCTTTCTGAGAGAAAGATCCTTTTGTTCGTTATTTTCTTCTTCAGCGAAATCATCGGACTGTTCTGTCTGGGATTTCTCCGATTTGGATGGAGATGTCTGGGATCCCCACTTAGACATTGTTGTATGTGGTCTGCTCATGCTAGAACGGTATTCTTCGCGAACAATGTCACTCATAGGGACACTCTTCTTAAATTCAGACATTTTAGTGATTTGGTATGTATGATCTAAGCGGTGACGTGTCCATTCAGTACGATTTAATGTCGGTTTTCTTGTTTCAATTGCTTTGAGAAGCTTCTTGTTCTCGTAATCGATACGAGCCATCTCATCCTTCTGATATTGACCTTGAAGGGTGTATGGACGTTGAGGTAATACACGTGGGAAATGCTCTTGCTTTTGAATATCATGCATTTTTCCTTCTAAGCGTTGGTTATCTTTCAAAACTGTTGAGCATCTCTGTTTTTCGTTCTCGTATCGTTTGCAATTGCGACCGATTGATTGTGGAGTTTGAGGTTTTCTTGTGTTAACTGATGGCTTCATGTTACGGAGTGCTGCCAAGTGCTGCTCATATGCTCTGTCGCGTGCTGCTTTAGAACAAATTCTGTTTACTTCAGGTAGTGCGCGAAACATGAATAATTTATCGTCTTGAAATCAACGTACAAATTTTGTTGTCACTTTTTGAGCTATTTCTCGAAACTGATTTGAAGTGAAATATGAATATAACATTGAATTTGCTATTAAATGACTATGAATAATTAGCTTTTTCCAGAATATAACCGCCAATTGCTCCACAAAACATTCAAAATAATTACATTATCATGAGCAAATGATGTCACTCTCTGTCTGAAAGGCATGTATTTCAAAAAGGATGCAAAAACTTTGCGTCGCATAGAAAAAATTTGGGAAAAAATAGGAGCTCTTGGAATTGAACCAAGATTTCAGAATTATCAAATCCAGTATGTAGGATTTTACCTGTGTCCTCCCATTGGACGAAGCCCCTTTACATTGAATTTATCTCACAATGTCTTAACACACTAAATAAACTCCTTTTTTTTATTTAGGTACCCTATTCAATTTCTATCGTCACCATATGGAGAGGTCAGGCCCATATCATAAAACATTAAGTTTGGACTTACTAAGACATGTAAGAATTACCTTGCTTGTATAGGGGCATTAAATACTTTTAGATGCTAAAATCTTCAAAATTAATTTAATTTGATATTCAAAATATGCACAAAAACGTAAATAAATACGGATCTAGCTCTCACATATCTCTATTTTAAGCATTGATAAGTATTTCTACATTCTATTTTAAAAAATATTCAAATTTCACAATATTCTTTTCATTGATAATCTACATATTAACGAGAATGATATAACTTTTCATGTGTTTATAAGTTCTTAGCTTTAGTACTGTATTGTTGAAAAAATTATTGAAGACTTTTTTCTTTTTGAGAAATTAATGCAATAACCAAAGAGGAATTGCATATGCTGCGCACTAAAATTATAGAAATGTCTCTAATTAGACACAAATAGAGATATTCGGAAATAAAAATTTGAAATTTTGATCAAAAACGCTATTTTCTAATCATTTTTATTTTAACTATATATAAAGTATCTTTTTCTATAATTTATACTTGATGGTTTAAAAGACGTTTAGACTCAAAATTTTACTGCATTTCATGTGGTAACTATGCTTTATCACTAACTACCTCCTTGTTTCAACCCTGAACAATATATTATACCTCCCAATGCAGGTATTACTCCAACAAAATTAGCAATTTGGCTATTGTCTAAAATTTTCTCAAAGAAAGAGGAGTAAAGTCCCATTTTTAGAATTCGAGCTATATTAGAATGCAACTTAGACAAAAGGTTACAGTTTCAATACACATATTCAAAAAATTTGCATTCGAAATTTAAGATAAAGTACAATTTCCAAAAAAGAGTATCGAATCAGTGCACAAATATGCATTTACATGCTTACACTAGCTTGCACTAGTATTAATAATTTTGAAATTAATTTTCAAATTATTCCCATACCTTTTGCAAAATTATTATGCTTATGATTCTAAGCATAGTTAAGCGATCTCGAATTTGAATTGCTAAGAAAAAATAATTAGTAAAAATTTGTCTATGCATTCTGTATGATGCTACTAACTATATTAGCAGCATACCTAAAATCTTTTCAATATTTTTGAGGGCATTTGAATGGTACCGGTTGAGAGCTTTTTTAATTAAGGATACCCTTACGTGTCAGATTTTTTGCGCATACGAAGAAGTCATGCTAGACATGAGCTATAAACCTGAAATTTTAGCAACATATTTAAAACTTTTTAAACTACAATACACTTTAATATTCAAGAACAAAAATATTCTTTTTAGAAATTACATAATTATTTTATGTGAAATCTATATAAAAACATATTTTGCGAGCGTAACTTTTTTCTTTATAAGCACCTTATATGACTAATAAACTGTGAAGGCACATAATTGTTAATTCATAGAGTTGATATGTTTCCAAAATTGAGAGGAAATTTGAAAATTGAATACCCTTTCAATTCAATTTTCAAAAGATATCAGCTCCTTCAATAATTGAAGGACGATTTTGATCATTTGCTCTTAAAACAAGTATGCCATGGAGAAAAAAGTTACGCTCGCAAATCTGAAATATAACTATCATATAAAAAAATTAAATTTCTAATTTTTTACTCTATAGATATTATTGGCCACTTGTGTAATGCATAAAAGTTTATGTCATATGCATACATTTGGAAGTATGGGAGACGAGGGAAATTACTTCTATGAGGCACTAGGATTTTTAAAAATTTCTCTATCGGACTCACTATTCAATTTCTCGAAAATTAAAAAAAATCAATAATAGCTAAAATGTATTATGCATAACAAATTTTAATGTTACACGGTATTTTTTGAACTTCATGACATGAATTTTCTTTATATTATTTTTTTTTGGATTTTCTATGATTTATGCGATAGGCTGGAACAACATTGTAAGTGCAATGATATCATTTATAGAGAAATCTAAAACTTCAGCATTCAGAACTCGCAACCACAAAAATATTCATTTGCTAAGTAAGTAAAGTTGATTAAGTTCGACACTTAGCTTTTATACGTAAAACCAAGTGTGTATTGTTATTTCTTGTTAAATTATTGAGAAAAAAATAAATTGTAAGAGAAACGATACTGATTATTGAAATAATATTGAGGGTAGCTGCAGATTTCTTCATTAACATGCCGGAAATTTGTTAATCTTGGCTTTCTATCATAAAATCTGTCGAAGAATCTAAAAACGGAGATATGAAATAGAGATCATGTAAATCTAGAGTATCCTGTCAGAAAAATAGACTAAGCATGTAACCCTTTTTGGTCATAAACACTTTTTACCACTTAGTCATACAGATGATCATTAAATTTAAACGAGCACTTTTTGTCAGAATTTATTCTTTTACAAAGACAGAAGATTTTAGTATTATTTAATATTAGTGCTGTAGCAAAATTCAAAAAACGGTGAAAATTCAGTGAATTTGTGAATTCACATTTTTTTTTCGACATTTTTCTTGATATATCCATGCACATTAAGAACACAGCTTTGATACGCTTAAAAAAGCATATTTCATATGAAATTGTTAAAGAAATAAACAATTTATATAAAAATTGCACTTATGGGCAGTTTAGATATATAATTTATATATAACATATATACAAATCCATAGACAAAGTGCAATAACTACAATGTTGTAGAAAATTACAGCAGAAATACTGACTTTTTGAAGGATAATAAGAATTCTTCTAAATGTTGTATTTTTATAATTTGATTGATTTTTTTACTATTTCATTAATCTTTTATGAATAATAATTATTTTTAATATATGTGCTATTAAAATTTCAAATTTTGACTAATATATCTAAGTTATCTGAACGAAACATTTAGAAAATATCATACTTACATTGAAATAGCAAGTAGAGCATATTAATAGCAAGTTTCTTGGCTTTATATCTATCATCTATTGTTGTTTGATCAAACAAAATTCACTCTATTATATGGTGTCAATTAATTAAAACAATTTTTAATAGTTATTTATTTAGTGCGAATAAGTGCAAACTCATAAATGAATAACTTAATAGTAGAAATGAATTATCTGATATAAATCTCACATTTTGTCCATCAGAAATACTTTAATTGCATACGCATAACTATTAGTAATACGTCTGGAGTGTCAATTAATAACAATCCCACAACAAGTAAAATTCAGATTTTTATTAAACTTATTTTTTCCTAAAAGTTTTCTCAAATTACTATATATACATATGTGGATAAAATAATAGTAATATTGTAAAAAATTAGATAATTTTTTTTATTTGAGAACCTCTCAAAAGTTCATTCAATTTATCAATTGTTTCAGTTTGATGTATATTCATTTCTGGAGCCTAAAACTTTAGCAATCATGACAATATCATATTCTCTTTCTAACTACGCAATGTAAGGGTATCCTTAAGGTACTATTTCGATAGAATTTGAATGGTACCCCTTCAATTTTGTGAGGGACCCCCTTTCATTTTTTGAATAGGGTACCTTAAATGAAAAAAGGACCTTAGTTAATTTTGAAGAAATAGCCTATAATATTATTTGAACAAGCAATGGCCTAATATGTCAAATTTTATTCCCTATAGTTCAGCAATAAATCTTATTTGTTAAAATTTCTTATCATGTTATATGATTCAAACTTTAATTTATATTTATCCAATATCAGCAAATCATTGTTTTACCAAACTTAGAAACTTTTGGTTCCCTAATATAAGACTTCATTCCAAGAAATTTGAGATTTCCATGAAATAACATTGATCAAACGAAGTCCAGGTTTCAGACTAAGATAATTATCAATAAACGTCAATATTTTATCAAATAAAAAATAAATACAAACAATAAAAAAACTAATATTATATCTTAGGTTTTCGTGGTTTCATTAAACCGCGTCTAATTAAGAATTCATCAACACTTGTCAGTGGTTCATCATCAGAAGGCATTTCCAGTTCCTTTCTCTTTGTGAATCTCTTTGGAATTATCTCTTCTTCCTCTTCAACTTTAGTTTTTTCTTTCTTCACGACTCTCTTTGATTCGTGGTGATGAGTTCTGTGTCCAGAGAGTTTCCTATGATGATGTGTCTTCTCCTCTTCTTTCCAGAGCTTCTTCGGCAGCTCTTCAATTGGCGGAGGAGGTAAATGAGAAACAATTTTTGGTGTTTGGACTGGCTTGACTCTGTTTAATATTGCATCGATTTCTCTCATGTAATTCGGCTTCGTTTTCGGTTTATCTTGTGATGATGATGAACTTAACTCGATCTGTTTCACTTCTACTGGCTTTTTCGGTTCAGGAATCTCTTCATTTTCGAAATCAATTGTTCTCATGTTTTCTTCGGATCTTCTTCGCCTTTCCCCGCTGAAAACTGCTTCGATTGAAGGTCTGCGCTCGTTCACTGGCATCTGGCCTTTGCGGCGAGTGTATCTAACAGGAGGAATATCGTTGTCTTTGCGTGGACTCCAATCATAAATATAATCAAACGTAAATTGCATGGCACGGAATAATCCCCTGAACAAACGTCTGTAGCTTGCGTAATGGGGACGTTCTGTAAATCGTAAACTGCGAACTTTTCGTATGTAAGTGATAATTTCGGATGGAAGTCCTTCGCAAAGTTTTTCGAGTGGAGTATCGCGCTTACATTCTGCTATTCGTCTGTATCTCTCTTGGTTAGTGGCTCCGTCGATTCCCATCCACGGCAAATGGCCTTTCAAGAGATAAACAATTACGTAGCCAATTGCTTCCATATCATCACGTCTGGACTGCTCACAGCCTAGTAGAGCGTTAATGGAAGCGTATCGGGCTGTTCCTGTTAAAGATTTCCCTTCGATGTAAGGAATATGTTCATGAGTATTTACATCTCGATATTTCTTGGCTAGACCGTAGTCAATGATGTATAGTTTGTTAGAGTTTTGGTTAACACCCATTACAAAGTTATCTGGTTTAATATCACGATGAATGTAATTTTTCGAGTGAAAGAACTCAACAGCTGTTATCATTTGATCGACAAGCATGAGAACTGTCTTAAGCGACATGCGTCGATTGACTTTATTTAGATGCTCTTCTAATGATTTTCCAAGTAAGTCAATAACAATGGTATTGTAGCGAGAATCGAAACTGTGAGCATGCAATCGAGGAACATTTGTTGACCCTGACATAATTTGATATAAACGGGACTCAAATAAGAGTTGAGGTATCGGAGCATCTGAATTTTCAAGTTTTGCTGCAAATAAAAGACCAGTTTTGACTTGTTTGATAATGTAAATCTTTCCAAAACTTCCTTGACCAATCTTCTTGATTATTTGATACTCTCCACCACATATTTCTTCCATACAATATCAAAAAAGTGACAAGTGCGAAATTTTCAAAGTTATCGGAAAGTGTAACGTCACAAAATTCTCGACTGAGAAAAGGTACGTTTACTAGGTAATAACAGTAAGATTGGGCGAAAACAGGATAAATAACATCATAATGTAATGCTAAGTTATTTAGATCATTATGATTGTACATCTGGCGAATCACAACTAAGCAAGTCAACAACGAAAAGCTTAACTTTGGATACAGAGAAATTTTGGTTATTGAAATGAAGAGGAAAAAAAGTATTTGACTTTTTTAATAAAGAACTCATACTAAATATCATTTCAAAACAAGTATAATATGAACATAAGCTTTTTAATACATCTTTCTTATGAATAATTTCAAATATAAAAATTAGTTGCATCCTATTGAATAAAAGAGATTTCTTTTTCTCTTTCTCTGAATTGCAGTTTTTTAAAAAACTTAAATCAGTTTTTTTTTGTTTTTAAAATTTGTATTTTCATTTTACAAAATAATTGGTGGGGGATATTGCCTTTGATGGAAGTGATCCCATTGGTTGTTTGTTGTTAAAGTTCTGGGTAAATTACGCGGCAAAATGAATTTACCTTTTTTTGTATTTTTGTCAAGAAGACCAGCCCATGGACCATTGTGTGTCCAAAATTTTGGTTGTCCACCCTTGTGTACGCTTTCATCTTTGGTAGCATCTGTAATGGGTGGGAGACGGGGTAAATAGCCGTTTTCTGCATCTCCTTGCTTATGATGCCTGCAGCAGTGGACAGTGTATGAATTGTCATCTTGATAGTTGTGAATACTGACAATATTTGGTGTATAAAAAATTCTTCTCCATTTCTGTATTTTTAAATATAGGTTTATCATCTTTGAGAAGATATGGAAGTTTTCTAAGAGGTGGCATAATGGGGTTAGATTCAGATAATTGAAAGTTGGGGATACGGACAAATGAAGGTTTTAGATATCTATGACTGAAGCCAGTATGCTTTCTAGTCTTACCTTGTAAGAAGGGTGCAATAGGTTTAAACTTTTGAGAAAATCCTATTGCGGAAAGAACAAAAAGCATCTTTTTTTTTTGAAATTTTGAATACTTATTTAAAATCAAATAAAATTTCATAATATATAAGAATATGCATAATCTATTTTATGCTATATTGTCAAATGACACTGATTTTGTCAAATGCCAAAATTTGATAAGAAAAAATTCAGATAATGTAAATTAATCAAATTTAATATACATGGATATATACGGAAATTATATTACCTATGTAGAAGAAAATATAACATTTAAAAATTTCATATAAAGGGGGTATACCATTTTTTTTATTTACATTAGAATAAAAACATATAGATATGAATTTGAAACATGATTTTGGCAGTGAATTTGCTTGCATGTGATCAATGAACAAGATTTCATGGATGTGATACTAAGACCACTAGATTTAATAATGTTATCAATATATGAACGAGTCTTGTTCTGTATGTTGACACCACAGTGAAGGTTGATGCATCCTGAGAATGCGTTTTGTTCGATCGTCTTCACACACAGAGGGATGTTGATGTACTTGAGAGATGTGCATTCTGAGAATGCTGAGGAACCGATAGTTTCGATAGAGTTGTCTGGGATCATGATACCTTCAAGATGCCTGCATCCATAGAATGCACTAGATGAAACACTCTTGACGTTCTGTGAGAAGCAGAAGAACTTGATCGAAGAGGCAGGAGGGAAGTAGATAAGATTGCTTCGTTCTTTGTTGAAGAGTGCACCATTGTCGACAACAAAGTGTTCGCTGTTATCACACTCGATAACACTAAGAGATGTGCATCCGGTGAAGATGAAGTTTCCGATATTACTAAGAACACATCCTGATGGAATTGTGAAGACACGGAGAGATCTGCAGCCTCGGAATGCATAGTCTGCGATGCTGACAGTAGAGACTGGCACTGTGAATGTTTCAATATTAGTGAACTCGAAACAATTAGATTCGATAGACTCAATACAACTAGGAATGTTTTCGATATTTCGAAGTGTGTTGCATCCACTGAAAACGTACTGGTTAAGTACACGCATATGACTATCTAACGAAAATGTGACAGTTTCGATGTTCGTGTTCTGGAACGCGTTGGTTCCGATGAAAACGACTGTTGATGGAATGTTAATCTTATTAAGACTTATACATCCTCTGAAACAGAACATATTAAGACTCAAAATTCCTTTTTTGAGTATGATAGATGTGAGAGATCCGCATCCACTGAATACATACTGATTGATATTTGCACTTACATTACTATCAGAAAAACTAATAGTTCTTAGAGAGATACAGTTTTCAAAGCAATTATCTGAAATCATACTCAACTTATCGCCAAAAAATACAGATTGGAGTAACTTGCATCCATAGAATGAGTTTTTGCCAAATTTAGAAACTGAGAGAGGAATGTTGATACTAGAAAGTTTCTCACATTCAGAAAATGCACCATCATAAATATCAGTCAATTGACTATCCGGAACAAATTCAATTTTGCTAAGAATTTTATTTAATTTAAAAACATCATTATTGATGATTTGAACTGTAGATGGAATAATATAGCTATCACTCTGATTCAAACACATGACAACTTTTGTTTTGGCTTTGTTATAAACAATCAGCTGATCATCAATCGTAAAATCTGATCCTTCAGAGAATATCAATTTTGTAGTCATTGGGAAACAAGATCCGCCAAGATTTTTCAAGCTTGATGGTAAAACAACTTCTTTAAGATTATTACAGCCATCAAATGCATAAATGCCGATTGTTGTTATTCCTGATGGAATTGTTATTGATGAGATGTTTGTTCGTCTAAAGCAATAATTTGAAATGGCCTTCAATCCGGTTCCAATAACAATAGAATTCAAAGAAGAACAAGCAAAAAAGGCTCCTTCATGTATATTTGTTACAGTATCTGGAATTACTATTGATTTAAAATTTGAACCAATAAATGCCCATTCACCAATTGATTGAAAATTTTTTGAAAATTGGATTGATTCGATAATTGAATATGCAAATGAACAAGAAGCTATTGATGTAGCTTTTTCCGGTATGGTATATGACTTACATTTATTTGCAGGAAAATGAATAAGACATGTTTGATCTTTGTTAAATAAAACTCCATCTGATACACTATAACTTGGATTTGATGGATCAATAGTAAACTCTCTAAGTGTTGTTAATGCTACAAATGCATATTCACTAATAAATGTAGTTGCTTTGGGAATAAAAAGTGTTTCAACTTTTGCGTAATCAAAAGAATAAGTTTTGATTTCTTTAATATTTGATTCAACATCAATGATAACGTTTTTTAATTTTGTACAAGATTGAAAACAGGATAATCCTAATGAGGTAACTTCATTTGGTATAGAAATAGATGAAATTGAAGTTGATTCAAAACAAAATGATGAAATTGATTTCAAATGAGTCGGAAGAATAATATGTGATAATGATATGCATCCACTAAATGCATATGATCCGATTTTGGTCAAAAACTGACAGTTGCTGAAATCAACCAATGAGAGTTTTCTGCAATGATAGAAAGCACAGTCATTGATGTCTGCAAGATGAGATCCAATTGGGAAGTTGATAGATAATAGAGTGTTATTACTTCCTTTGAATGCAAAATCTTTGCACTCATTTCCTGCATAAAGTCCATATATTGTTTCACAACTCTGTTTTAGATCTACATTAGCACTATTGTTTGATGATAATAAAATTGAATTATCATTATTATACGTTTCATTCATTTCACAAAATTAATTGCTGAATACTAAAAATACAAGAATGGTATGAACAGATAAAATATTTTGAACTGTGTAAAGTTTATTGAAGGACCAAATTGATCTCTAGAATGTTAAATTCCAATTCTGGTCGATGAAGATGGAAGAGTAAAAAATTAATATCAAAAGTGTCATTATTTAGATGTGACTTTCAATAAAAGTTTGATTTTTTTTCCTCACATTGGCCAGGTAATCATCGAATATAACCATGATTTGCATACCAAAAATTCGAGAAATTTATTAATATCGCTAAATTACCATTTATAACACAAATTCATAACTTATTCTTGATTTCTTGACATAACATGTCAAAAAAAAAAGATGCCACATCAATAAGGTAGCATATTGATTAAGGGTTGTCAGAAAATGACAAAGGCTATATTTCTATTTTTCTTCAGACACGTACTCAATACTTTGAGAGTATGCGAGAAAGAGGTAAGCGCATCCTTAATAATATAAGATTTGAAAAAAAATTGCTATATTTTAGATCCTAATTATGGGGTGGAAGGAAACCCCTGTAGGATCTAGGGATCAAAAGGAGATAGAGACATTCTGATTTCTAACAATTTTTTTAAATATAGTATCAGATCCGAGATAACCCAATCTGAGATTGAGATACTACGGGGGTTTCCTGCCACCCTATATGATTAAAGTGTACTTTTGATACCAAAAAAATTATAATACTGTTTATTAAAAAGAATAAGAAAATATAAAACACACAAAAATAAAAATAATAAAATATATGTTACATTCTTAAGTTTGTAAGTATCTCAAGAAGTTGCTTTGAATATTCGGAGTCGTCATTTCCAAGAACAAATCCAATCAAACTCGATGAATTCTTTATCATCGAATCCAAAGTAATTGTTGATTCATAGATATTCTCTTCTAGATTCGTGCTGTCTGGTGAGGAATAATTACTTCGAAGATTGAACATGATCAAGTTCTGTTTCGTTTCTTGGAATTTTTGTGAAATAAATTCAATAATCGCTTTACAAAAACCGTCTTTGTTGTCAGAAACATTTTTGTAAATATTAGACATTGTTCCATCATCGCTTAAAACCATTTTCCTGTTTGAATCGTGCGGAAGCAACAATAAATAATACTCAGAAAATTCTGACAAAAATTTGACATCGTCAATTTTCAATTTTTCGCAAATCTTCGAAAGACATTTAATTGTCAATTTCGAAGAGTAAATCGATGTCAAACGTAAAATGTCAGAATAAATAATATTTGATGAATTAATAAATGGTAATTGAATCTTGTCACTTTTTGTCAAAAAAATTCCATCACTTAACTTATCAAATTCTGTATAATCATTAAGTGAAGTGAATTGATAATTTAGAACAGAAGCACTTGGAAGATTCAATGTTATAAAGGCAGAATTCGATGATTTAACAATGGAAAACTTTTTCACGTCATTACCGGTTTTGACATAAACGGATTGCTCCAACGGTTTTGTCAAAATGGTCACTTCACCTTTGACAAGAAACGGTTTTGTTGTGAAGACAGTATTGGAATATTTATCAATCATATTCAGTGATAATTCCATTGTCTTCTTTTCACTTACAGTTAATTTAAGTGTAGAAGTGAAGTGACATGAAAAAGGTGACGAAACATATAACATATCTGACGCCAAAGCCACTACAAAGTTTTCTACAGATTTCTTCATTTCTCTTGATCTGAAAAGTGTCAAATCCAATGATCTAGCTCCACTTGTTTCTTGTTTAGAATTCTGAGGAAGACGATTAAGTAAAGTGAAGAATGGCCAGTCAGTATCCAACATCTCGGAAATGAAATAGAACAATTCGAAGTCGGAATCTTTTTTCATTAAGTTCTGTGGTGTCAAATATTTGTAAACTTTGTAAACAAAGTCGTTTTGTATTTTGTCAGTGAATTCATTGGAAGAACTGAATGTTGTCAAGCTGGAAAGATAGAAACATGTTAAGGACTGCATCTTGTGATTGTCAAAATCTGTCAAATATTTGTTAAATGACAAATAAATTTCAGAAAAGTTATTGACAAAAATTTCTGGATCAAATTTTTCTTGGTTGAGTATTTTGATGGTTTTGAAATACTTCTTATCAATGTTTTTGACTTTATCTTTAACAAAAACAGAGAATCCATCTTTGTTTAGTTTCCTAAGAATTCCATTGTATTTCAAACCATTTTCCAAGAAAGAAATCTCCATGTTCGGCCTTGGCAGATCAACAGAAGAGAAAATAACAAAGAATGCATCTTTCTTGTCAGTATTAAGTAATTCTATTAATAATCTTCTGACAAATTCTGACGTTTTTGCCATTTTCTTGACAGAATTTGTCAAAAGGAACAAACTCTGGAATGAACAGAAAACTCCGCCGTCGCTTGCAATCAAAAACGTCTTCATTGTGACAAATTCTTCAATCAAATAGAATAAATAGTCAAATATTCTTCTATCGTCATAACCGCTGTCAACCAATTCTTGTAAAATATCTGTAAACAAAGTGAGGTGATCGTAATTTCCGTAGTACATCAATTTCTTCGCTAAATTGAAGAAATCATCGGAACAATTACCTATCGTCTTTTGACACTTTACAAATATTCTCAATTTCATCAAGAAACTTTTCATCTGGTTTTCTTCTGCCAAATTGAGGAAGGATTGACTTGCCGAGTCCTTAAATGTGTTTAGAATGTATGATTGGTCGGATAACTTATCGGAAATCGCGAGCATCGTTGGGAAAATGTATTCGATCTGTTCTGGAGTGAATTTGTTGAAATTAATTTGGAAATTAATTCTGGAAAGCCTCAAAAACTCGTGATGGAGGTATGGCCAGAGATCTATAGTGGAAACAAATTTGTCTAATGTCGAAATCGGAACAGATGCCAACATCGGAATAATTTCAACAAATTTCGAAATGAAAAATGCGAGAATTACCTTGATTTTGACGGTTTCTTGTGAATAGTATGTGGAAAGACGGTTAAGGAACCATGAATAGTACTTGTTTGTGGACTTTTCTGTTACGATATTCACATTCTCACCGTCAAGATAGGCAATAACGCAATGGAATGACTGTGGGAGGTATTGCTGGACGTCTTCGAGTCGTTTTCTGATGGTTTCAAGTGGTATTTCCGAACGATTTACTTTGGATAAAATATAATTTATCGCTTCTTCGATTTCGTTCGGTTTCATACCACATCTGTAAGAGTTGTAAGCTGCTTTGAGTATATTCTCGTAGATATCACCTGGAACATTGTCACATTTTGTCGGATGTATTGAATTTTCGAAAAGTGAATATTCACCGGTGATTTTTGGTCTTTCTCCGAAATTCATGAAGCATTTTTCACGCTTTATGAGGTTGAACGAGAGAATCAAGGCCAGATAGTACGAGCGGGCAAACAACTTACTGATTACGTAGTATTGGTCTTCATTCAAAATCTGCATTTCGCCAACTGTGAAGAAAATCTCGATGATTTGGACATTGCAGATGAAATCTTTGTAGTTCGCGCAGACGAGTTTCATCAAATCATCGAAAATAAGAAAAGATATTGAGTTCGTGAACCTTTGTAGGGACCAATTCTCGGAACAAAGGTTATCAAAGTCTACTTTGAGCTGGTTTACAACCTCGATCAGGTAAATTGAAGACAATTGTAGCGAATGTTTGACAATTTCGTCATTTTTGTCTCCAATGAGGTCTGTAATGAAACCATACTGCAAGCTCTTCAACAAAGGAAGTGACATATCATCGAAAACGTAATGAGTTTTCAATGACATATTACATAATGAGACAACGGACTCAATTGTGAGGGCACGGCTTACGTACTTTGATTTGGGGAACCATTTGAAAAGCATTGCCGTGTATTTCTGAGAATCAATTAAAGTTTTGAGAATTTTTGAAGTTTTTTCCATATTTGCAAGAACGAAAACATCCAAACAACTAAAGATAATGTAAACAATAAGGTCTTTGATGTATGAATACTTTTCGTTGTCGATGCAAATTAAAAATTGATCTAATAAAGGAGTTACTTGGACACTAGTTGAATCCTGATGTATCTTGAGGCTCAAGAAGACCAAAAATGCCTTCGCAGCTACTTTGTACGCATCAGCAACTCGTTTGATATATGCGGCATCTTTGTATCCTTCTGCTTCTAGCGCCAATGCATCTTCTGTGAAATTGTAAGCTTGGATTATGAAAGAAAGAACGGCTTTTTCGAGTGGAGTATTATATATCTCATTTAAAAAGTTGAGTTTGAGGCCAACTTCGACGCCAATGATTCTGGAAGCGAATATAGCTAAAGCATGTGAGTATCCAATCAATATATCGTCATTTTTACGGGATTTAATTTCAGGAACTCCTTCAGGAATGGAATATCCGGTCATCCATGTAGGCAATGAGAAGCAGCCATCAACCATAAGAACATTGTACTTTCCGAGTAAACAATGTGCAGGGCGGTTTGAATTAAAGCACCATCCGTTGAAATCATCGAAATCTTTAAGAACAACGTCATGTAAATGCGTTCCATCGTAGACTAAGAAGATTCTGCATATTGTTAATTGAGGAGATTTAAGAATAAAGCTGATATAAACTCCATTTGTCGCAATAAGGGCTTTATTCTTTTGGTCAAGTGGTAGAAGTTCTGTAAATGGGGCCATAAGTGGATTGTGGCCTTCTTTAAGGTGAACGGATGTTTCGTACATGATTGAGTCTAAATCTAAGTGGAAAATCTTGATTTTCGGACTTGGACCGAAATCAATTGAGTAAAACTTTTCGCCATCTGAAACTATAGGTGGTTCAAACGCGTTTTTCTTTTCTAAAATGTATAAGAAATTAAATGGGTAAAATAAATTGATTGGGAACTGTTCTTTCGTTTTTGTATCGAAATGTAATGCTCTTACAGTCTTTGATGAGAAAATTAACGAATCATTCATGAATAAAATTGAAAATGGTTCATTGGGAAAGTTTTCGATAGGAATAACTTCGGTTTTGGAGTCGCTAGTATTTTGTATTGGTATAATAACAACGGAGGGACCTTCAATTCCGACATAAATGTTTGTTTCACTACAAGCGAAAGCAGTTGGTAATATAGGAATGAAAATATCAGGAACTTCGATCTTATAGCGTGACTGTTCATTCATGTCTGGATAAAACAAGGGAGGTAAAGGTGTTTGTAAAAGTAAATCTACAGCCATTTTTGCGTATTTGTCATTAGTTTTTGGCTCTTTGACAGTTGGTTCGTGGCAAAGGAAGTCGCCAATTAAGGAAAATGATTTAATATATGTCGAAAATAGTAATCTTAGGCCATAGTTGTCGAATGTTTTAACACACAATACCGAAATGGGTCCAGCAATCAATGAAATTGGAATATTGTTGTAATCTTTTAAGTTTTGATTCAATAAAAAATTTTCAATTTTTTCTTTTGTATTTAAAGCATTAAGTTTTTCAAATACTCGGATATCCTGTGCATATATATCATCGGAAGATTGACATGCTTTAATTGTTTTTGCCGACTCGTTCATATTTTGAAAACATGATTTTGATTCTCGAAAAAATGAAGAAATTTGACCATATACAAGCTCCTGATCTTGCTTGTTTATTGCAGTGATTACGGTCAGCTCTTCATCTTGAGAATCCAATGCCATCAGCTCTGAATATGATGACATTAATAAATTATATTTATAACCTCAGAAAAAATCATTCTCCACCTAATTACCAAAAATGTTTTATTAATTAAGGGTTTCGTTTTGCTAAAATTGTCACTTTTAGAGCATATTTGTTTTTGGATGTTTTGCGAAACCAAAAAAAAAACTATGATATACAATGTGTGTGTAAAGAAAATACTTTATTTACTAGTTAAAAAATCATTTGGTATTGATCAAGTTATTTTTTCTGGATAAGATATTATATGGATAATTGGATAGAAAATACAATTATATAATCTTGTACCTGGTTTAATTAAGCTAATTGTCATCAGAAACTTGTAATTTTTATGAATTTCAGATTTTCTTTTCATTACTGCTTTTCTTAATAGGTCAAGTTCTTATTTACGTTATAAAGTATGATATTTACAAATATCAAGTTATCATGTTTTTTGAGAAATTATGAGAAACAAACAAAAATGAAAAAGATAGGAATAGCAATGAATAGTGATGTGGGTATAGAAAATGTAAGAGGTATGAATGCAAAGCAATCAGTATTTAGGACATTGACCATAGATTTCGAAAAAAAAATGCTGCATATTGAGCGAAAACTATGATTATATTATAAGGCTGTCATTTAAAGCATAATGAAACTATTCCCTTTTCATTTTAATCGAATAAGATAGTAAAGATTTTTGAATTAGCTAGAAACTGATGAGATGTTTTCACAAATCAGATTTTTAATCTCTATAATGCATAATTCACTCAATATCTCAATTTTGATATTGCGAGATATTTTTGCTATCGGTTTCGCAATTTTGACACAATAGCAAGAGGGTTCTATAAGCATTATTATCAACGTAGAATCTGAATATCATATCAGAAAATGTCGCAAATCTGACATTTACCCGACCAAATAGCAAAAATAATTGAATACTTTTCGCAAAAACTTTAAAAATCGATAAAAATATGAAATATAAAAAAAAAAAAAAAAAAAAAAAAAAAAGGTAGTGGGGCTTCCAGGCACTTCGTGCCCTCTAGCCCCGAAGATGTTTAGTATAAATGAAGTTCTTATATACGGGTCTTCCAGGAGCTTTTCACAAATTATATATGTTTTCATGTTTTGTCAAGACTTCTTCGTAAAATCAGACAAAAATAATGTTTAGGGTAGAAGGTTAGATATAACCTCTTTTCTAACCTCTTTTCTACCCTCTTGAATTTTCAAGACTTCTTCGTACATGTTTTGTCACTTTTCTGTCACTTTTCAGGAAAAAACATTTTTATTATTATATATAAATGAATTTTACAAAACCTCCGTTACCGTTCTTTGGAAATAAGAGTAAATGTAAAGATATTATATTGAGAGAACTTAAGAAACTACCGAATGGTCTAACATTTGTAGACTTGTTCGGTGGAAGTTTCTATATATCTCATTTGTGCCATACAATATTTCCTGACTCAAAGATTATATGCAATGACTTCGACAACTATATGAACCGTCTCAAACATATACCAGACACAAACAAAATATTGAAAGAGTTAAAAGAAAAGATACCTATAGGTAAGATGGAACGTATACCATTAGATAAGAAAAATACTGTCAGAGAGGTTTTGAAAAAAGCAGAATATATAGACTGGGATAGTATATCTGCTAGACTATTATATAGTGGTGCTATAAGAGTTCATGACATTGAAACACTTATGTCAAAAGTTTTATATCTCAATTATACAAATGTTTTCAAAGAGGACATAGAAAAATATATTGAGGGTATAGAGTTTGTGAGATGTCATTGGACAGAGTTGTATGAAAAATATAAAGACAAGGAAAATGTTTTCTTTATGGTGGACCCACCGTTCTATAACACATGGGATTTTCAATACCAAGTAGACTGGACTTTGAGAGACTCTTTAGAAACTTTAGACGTTTTACATAACCATCCATGCTTTTACTTTACATCCGATAAAAGTGGTTTGGAAAGTGTCATGAGATGGTTAGAGGACATACATGACTATGAGTTTATATATGACAAGATAGAATATGAGAGAGGTCCTATAAACTGGAGAAAGTGTCATAACAAAGAAATTTTATTAGTAAGTAAATGTGGTTTGAAATAGGACTACTTGTTTTAGGTTTTTTCCATTGTGTCATTTATTTATTTGACGTGGCAGAAAGATATAGAGATATGAACCAATGCCTGCAAATGTTCAGTATATGTACTCGTAAGAGATATTTTTATCTAATATTAAATGGACGCACAGAACTTAGCGAATGCACAGCAACCTGGACAACCAAACCCAGAGAATATTCCAAATGAAGTTAGAATACAAACTGCAATGGCAAACTATGGTCAAGTGCCAACAGATGTACAAATGCAAACTGCCATGTCAAATGACGCTGCGTTAGGTTTGCCACCATGGTATGCAAATATGAGATGGAAAGAGTTTTATACAAACCCTGAAGTGGGATATAAACAACTTTATGCAGATGACGCGAACACAGGAGTTGACCCAGAATATGTTTTCTACCAGAGGAGAAACAGAATGTATGAGCTCCAGTTAAAGAATGCTATGGAACTCAACAGGAAACGTAAGAGACTAGGCGGACATTAGATTTTTACATATAGTAAAATGGGTTTCTTCAGTAAGATAGGAAACTTCTTTCGAAATGTTGGAAGAGGTATATGGAATGGAATAAAAACCGTAGGAAGAGGAATTTGGAACGGTGTCAAAAATATTGGTAAAAGAGTAGGTCAGTTCGTTGGTATTATACCAAAGACCCTGAACCAGAAGAGCAAGCTCCTGTTATACAACAGCCTGAACCTGCACCACAGTCTAGTTGGCAACCAAATCCAACACCTCAACCGTATTAAAAAATTATATTTTTACTGTTCGATAGTAGTTGTATATGAAACTAAGTTCTAAGTAAAACGCATGGTATAATGGAATTATTCTTTTTCTTCCATCTGTAGTAAACCATACTTGAAAGTCTGAAATACTTCCACTTGGTGGTTCGTATAACTTTGTAGGTTTTTCGTAAAAGTCATTTGCCAAGCATAAGAAAGAGTTTTGGGCGCCAGAAAATGAAGCATGAACTATAATAGCAGCTGGGTCGAAAACATCTTTAAATAAATATGGTTCATCTCTTGCATATCGACTGTAAATATTTGCTAAAGGAAGTTCGACTTTCTGATTTAACATTCTTTGCAAATAATACCATGACATTGCAGTGAATTCTGTATATATTTGTTCGTCTTTCTTTGGATTGTCTTCGTAGATTTGAAATGACACTTGTGAATTTTGTTTGTCATATACAATTCTCACATAAAGTGTGCTCTCGGTATTTGCATATTCATCAGCATATTTTGCATAACATGAATTTATTTTATCTTCTATATTTTTTAACGCAGTCTGTAGAGAAGATGAAAGGTCAACTTGTATTAGCTCAATTTCTTCCCACATTTTTCGTTTCCCTTCAGATATATAATCTATATGAACCTTACAATAAATGGAAAACTTTTATCTTCTACAGACACAAACTTCATTCTACGAAAGCCAATAGCTTTTGTGACAGATGGGTCTCTTAGCCATCTTAATGGGTAGTCAAAACGATAGCCTTCATGCTTTACGGTCTCTGTCTTCAAACTTTTGACCGACATTCGTAAAAAGTTCATCTAATGGTTTAGTTGTAGCAACTCTTGAATTTTCTTTTTCTATTGAAAGCATATTTTATCTAGAATAAAAATGTCGAAAGAAACAGCGTCTATGAGAGAAATACAACACAACCGACAACTCATTATGCAAGCTCTAAATAAGAACACAACAAACTTTTCAAACTATTCTAAGATATCTGAGTCATTGAAAGAAGGAAACTTAAAACTGACGATAAACCCAATGACAGACGAGTTTCTGTTTCAAGACAACAAGAACCATACTGTTTGTATAAATCCAACAAAAAGAACTTTAAACGAGAAACCTATAGATGAACTTCTTTTGAAAGCAGATATTGACAACAAAGCTGACAAAGAGTATGTCATTGAAAAAGTTCAAGAAGAACATGACAGAGCAGATGCAACATATGCAACAAAAGAGGATGTTGAAAAGAAAGCTGACAAAGAGTATGTTGACGATGAGTTAGCATATCTGGCTAGTGGGTTAGTGAAGAAGGCAGATAAGGAATATGTGGATGAAAAAGACAATGAAATTATAAAAAGGGTTGAATGGTACCATGAACGGACATCGAAGATTTTAGAAGGTAAAGCCAATACAGGGTGGGTTTCAGGATGTTTAGACCTTAAAGCCGACAAAGAAACTGTAGATATGTTGACACAAACGGTTTCAAGTCATACCAGAGGTTTAATGGAAGATGGACAACAGTTGAAAGAGCTTGAGAAAGGTGTTACAGAGTTAAGGAATACAAAAGCAGACTCGACATGGATAACTGGATATGTAGATGCAACAAAAGAGTATATTTTCACATGGACAGAAGGAACATACGCACAAAAATATCATAGACATAGCATCTCTGACGTAAATGAACTTGAAGAAAAGTTATATAAAAAAGCAGACAAAACAGAGCTTCAAACATTAAAGACAGAAATACTTCAAACAGTATATCCTATAGGTTCTATTTATACGTCAATGAACTCTACCAGACCAGAAGTAGTACTTGGTTTTGGAACTTGGACTCAAATAGTCGACAGGTTTTTGTATTGTGCAAACTCTTCAAAGGAAACAGGTGGAAGTAAAACGATTTCAGGTGAAAACCTACCTGCACACAGTCACTACATAAATTTAACTACAGCTGAAGCAGGTTGGCATAAGCATAGATATTGGGATTGGACAGGAATGACAAAAGGTAAAGGATATGATGTTAAAGACGA